TAAATAAATTTTAATTATTAAAAGTAAAAAAATAAATTATTAAAATTTTAAATAAGTATAATGTATAAGATTTATATAAAAGTGAGTTTCTACTTTATAATTAAAATTATTTTATATAATCTTATATTTTTATATATTCAATTCTTAAATAAAACTTTTAATAAAATAATTTTTATTTAATGTGTAGAGTTTCTTTAAAAATTATACTAATATTATTTTATTTAATTTATATTTTTTATATTTAAATAAAACAAATTTTGAATTAGAAATTAAAAAAAAAAAGAGGGGGAAATGAAAAGCCTGTTGTATGAAAAAGTGTGGGCCGATGTCTAAGTGCTGCAAGCCCGCAACACTTTTTATTATTTTAGTATTTTAAAAACTTAAGATGTTTGAGAACTCGCTTTTATAGAAAAAAAAAAAAAGGCAAAAACCCTTTTTTAAACTCTTAGATTTACCCTAAATTAGTATTTAAGTCCTTAAACTAAAAATGATGCAATTAAACTAGTGCAAATAAGCTCTTATCACTAATGACCCAAATTTGTTTGTTCAATAAATTTGTTTGTTCTTCCTCTTCCACTATTCTACATAGATATAAATACTGATGTAGCACCATTCCATGTAAATATAGATGAATTTTTTTCTTGTGTTTGTTTTGGTAAATTTTTATTATGTATTTTAACAAAATTTAGAGTTTAATCTATAACATTTAATAGAATTTTGTTATATTTGTTAAAAATATGCCATGAATTATGAACTTTAGATTCTCTATCTTCTTTTGTAATGTATAAATCATGAACATTATATGTGGTATCTTCAACTTTTGTTAATAAAAATGAGATATGTGATTATTTTATAATTAAATTCTGAGATCTGGTTTATTTTAAAAATACTTTATTACAAAAGTAGAATTGATTTACTAACAACTTGTGGATTTAAATAAAAGAAGTTCAATTTCCTTTAAATAAAATCTCAAGTTCAAGTCTTATAAATAAATAAATATGTACTAAAAGAGTTTCCCCCTATTGGAATGACCTAACTCAACTTAAGATTAATCAAAGTAAAGGTAAGTACTAAAAAAAATAGGACTAAGTTAAAAATATAAGCTTTTTAAATTAAAAACTACATAGAGTGTCAACACAACAATATAGTTGTTGGCACTTCTACTTCAAGTTTAACAAAACACATAGTTGGAGGGTTTATTTGCACTATTTTTAATTTAAGAGTTTAAATGTTAATTTATGATAAGTTTAAGGGCTTAATAAGGGTTTTTGCCAAAAAAATTTTGTGTTTGTAATTTTTAAGAATAGAATAGTAAAAAAAATATTATTATATATGCTTTTAATAATCATATTATCCAAAATCATATTATCCAAAATCATAATAGTAAGTACACTTTTGTTTAATTTTAATTGATTTAAATTTTTAAATAATTAAATAATTAATTAATTTTTATTTTAATTAATCAAAAT